GAATTTCGGGGGTTTTAACCACGTTACCGAATTTCTTGCGCCACAAGGCCTGATCGGCTCTTTACCCCCGGATATTTAGGGCGCCAGACCGCCGTTTGACTAGGGCGATCGACGGGGATAGGGCCTAAAGGTCGTCGCGTATCCCGGTTTGCTTTCACGGCGACGGCGCAGAGTGGGCAAACGGGTGAATAATCGCGATCTCCTCTGCTCCAGGCCTCAGTGTCCAACCATTCGTTTCCTCTTTGTCTTCTCGCTTATGATATGCCGGCAGCTCAGATGATGACTCCTTATTTCAGGTCGGAAGTCCGTTCGAATTCGCACATATGTCACCTACCGTGGGAACCGAAAATATAACGAATCAGCGTTACCCGATTATAACCGCTCGCGGCTGAAAATAATCAGCATGCAAATAAGGCAGGGTGACAAAAGTAAAATTTATATAAAGAACAATTGATCACTTTTATTGACTTATTTCATAATACATAAGCACGTAGTCGGATTAATTAGGGTTGTTTGGAACAAGTGCGCACCCAGTGCCCTGCCCCTACCGGCGGGCGGTAAGGCCAATTACTGAGAGGGGGCCGAAAGGGGGCGCTCGAGAGAGACCTCTCTCGGCAGGGGTCAGTTTTTGCGGGTCAGTCTTGATCACAGCGCCTCGACGGACAGCCGTTCAAGAGCATCCCAGAGGGTATTACAAGCACTTAAAGTGTAATCAGATTTTAAGTAAAGTCCAATAAATTAATTGAAACAGCCCCCGCCTTATTCTTCACCTTCTGCGAATCATTGGTCCTTCGAGCCGGATTCCAGCCAAAAGAGGAAATCCACGGTGAGTAAACTCAAACTATCCGAGTGCAATGGCGGACGCCCATCGCGTCCTCAACCCTCTCTAGTGCGTGCAGAGAGCAGCTGCGCAGCATTGCGCAAGGCTCAACAGAGAACCGAATCACAGGTCATTCGTTAATGAATGATGGGCGTCACGGCGGGCGGCTGCCATCGACGAACTCCTGGGTTACGCGACAACCCAACGACGCACAAATATGGCGCCTAGGCGAGTGGCGCGCGACGGCGACAACTTCAAACAACTCGGTACAACAAGCGCCACGGCTACGAACACTTGAGCCACGTGAGGAACCGCCGGCACGCAGAGCGGGCGCCGCTGCGGGCGGCGTTCGACGATGATGGCATCAACTCGATACGACGGGCGCCGGCCGAGCGGTTGCCCACACGAGGTCTTCGTGCACGCGGGGTCCTGCCTGGGCGCGCGCACTAAGGGCAACTAGGAAACGGACCATCGGATGTGAGGATGACGCAATGGCCGACACCTCTGCCGCGCTTACCGATGCAGCCAAAGAATCACCTCCCCCCGTTTCTCTCTTTCGACAACAGCGCGCCTAGACGGACCCAGCGGCGCGAAGAGGAGCCCGCCATATTTCACACTCAGAACGACGCATTGGCGAGGCGCCGCGGCGCGGCAGCCGACAAAACTACAGGCCCTTGAGCACACGATGGCAGGCGGACCGCCAAGCGCGCGATGAGCCATCGGGCTGGCCGATCCAGGCATCGTGTCGACTGCGCTTGGAGGACCCAACTACGGGCCGGGTGAGCCGTTACGGCGCGCGGTCCCAAGTGCTGAAAGGTCGGCCTCGGGTGACAGTTTGGCCGTCCGCGCGAGCCCGCTCGACTCATTCTGATTCTCACGCCATCCCTTTCTCACAGATGGAGCTCATTCCAGTCCAGCGGGAGCTTCGAAAGGCCATCCGTCGGATCGCCGAAAAGGTAGCTGACACGCCGACAGCCTCTTGGATTCTCGGCGCCATCGAGACGCGGCTAGATTTACTCGAAGGGCTACTGGAACAATCTAAACGGCAACCATGGCCGACTGTTGACTTCATCGGAGGCCGCCGTCTTGGAATACTTGGCAGGCGATGACTACGCAGTCGCCGAGAAGCTCTTCATTGAGAGCAAGAGCACTCTCCTGGACCACCACGCTCGCTGCATCGCGTCTAAAGACCGCTCATCATTGGCTGCTACTTCCTCGGAGGCCGCCTCGGATTCGACAGTCCCGGCCGTGAAGCTGCCGTGCCTCTCCATACCCACCTTCTCAGGAAAGCCTGAGGACTGGGAGTCATTCAGGGATCTGTTCCTTGACATCGTGCACAACAACAGCACGCTGGGGACCACTATGAAGATGAACTACCTCAACACGCACGTCAAAGGAATGGCCAAGGATGCACTGGCGTCCTTCCGCTCGGTTAACGGCGATTATGCGCAGGTCTGAGAGGCATTATGTCGACGCTATGACCGGCCGCGCCTGCAGGTGAAGGACCACTTCGCCGCCTTAGTGAAGCTGACGCCCATCGCCAAGGAATCGCCGGAGAGCCTTCAGATATTGCTGGACGAGCTAAACAAGCGCCGCTCGCAACTCGAGCGGCTCGGTCGGTCAGTCGGAACTTGGGATGACTGGTTCGTCTACATGGGGAGCCGCGCCCTGGACTCGGTAACCATGCGAGCCTGGGAGGAACACATAGAGCAGCGGGCACGCAGAGCGGAGCTATCAGCAGTTGAAGCGACCTGCGAAGAGTTCGCCGAGTTTTTCCGGCGGCGCTACTGCACACTGAGGGCTCTGGGTCAAACCCTCAGCACTTCCTCTCACCCCCCGACCGAGAAAGGAAAGTTTTCGAGACCTTCGGGCATCCTGACCATACGCGCCCATGCTACTGGAGCGTCTCGAGAGAAGGGAGGATGCCCAGCCTGCAAGGAGGCTCACCACATCGGCCATTGCTTCATCTTCCGAGCCCTCGACCATGAGGAGAGACGGAAACTTGTGGCCGCTCGGGGACTTTGTTATAATGGCCTCAGTGGGAGCCACCCCGCCAGGAACTACCCCTCCAGCGGCACCTGCCGAAGCTGCTCCGGAGCGCATCATACTCTCATCCACAAGTGCGCTGGAAGACCCAGACGAGCGGAAGAGAAGCCTCGCCCATCGACATCGGGAGAGACACCGACTACGCAGCTCCAGACGGCTGCCACCGGCGCACCTTCCCCAAGAGACGACGGCTCCGCATGACTAGCCGTCCTCCCCACCGCCATCATCCCTATAAGCAGCGGCGGGGAAAGAAGACAGCTAGTGTATGCGTTGTTTCACACTTTTCCGTTTTGAGGGTGGTATAGCGTACTCAAGACATTTCCACCCCTCTCTCTGGGCGCCAATAAGTTGGCATAGCCCACTGTCTTTCACCCTTTCGCTTTCAAATACATTGGGGATCCGGAACTCAAGTTTGCTACGACATCCCTGGCGCACTCAGTGAGTCGGAACCTTTTTGATCTAAGGCGGCGACCTCCTCGAGAGGAGTACCGATCTTTTCACGGTTCGACGCTCAAGGAGAGCGGAACTAAAGGCTTGACCCTCGGTTTGGGCGCGACGGGACTCTAGTTGCGTCGGAAGCACGCAGCATACAAATCTTACGAGATTTACTTGACCTGGTACCACTACCCCGCAGAGGCCAACCCAAAATTGGGATGTCAGAAGAGAGACTCAGCCAGGACAGCCAGAGGAAGATTCCTAAGACGATCAACCAACTAAACCTCCCCTCCTGGGCTCGCGTTCGAAATACATCCCACCCTGCGTACCAGTATTAAGGAATTTCTCCCACGACTCACAGGTCCATCGCTTCGACGTGCCGGGGCATGTCTTCCCATTGCGTTTCGGTCGTCCCCGCTCACGCTGGTGGGTATCCGTCATTCGAAAGGTTGTGTTCTGATTTTGCCCGAGTCTCGGATTTCGCTTTCCATGGAAGGCTTTTATGACTCGCTGATATTGATCTCTGCTCTTTCGATTAATTTTCTGACTTGGGTCAGGGGCGGGGTCTCGCCTAGCCGACAAGACGACTCCCCAGGCAGTTTTCAATATTCGTGCCAGTCATGCCACTCATTCAAATCAATTTCCGAGAACCAGGCTAAAATCAGGCGTTTTTGCGTTCGAGATTAGCGTTCAAATTGTGTTTTCTCACACAAAGGTGTCGGGCCTTACTCCCGGAGCTCGAGGCAAAGAACTTTGGGTGGCTGCTATGACCACGGCCACGACTCTTTACCCACAATAGTGGCACCTACCGATTGCCAGTCGATAGGGGGTAATTTCTTATCTATCCGAATTAGATTCGGATTGCCGGGACCATTGGTCCTCTGCAACTAGCTCCCGGAGCGGTCTCCCGTCCTCTAAGAGGGCGCGTGGTACCACAATCCCAAGAGATTTCCCGTCAAGTGATTCCCGGATTTTGGCTTTTCTGGGCTTGAGTTGAGCTCTTGGGGTGCGGTAGACTCCACGTTGAATGTTTGGGCGTTTACGGGCCGCACCTCACCGCGTGCTGTCATGGTCCGTGTTGTTTATTGTCGTTTAGCCTATTGGCCATTTGCCCTAGGTGCGAGCGTTGTGTGTTTTACCTACTGTTTCTTTACAGAAACAGCGTTTTCAGCCCCAACACGTGAAGGTACACACATCCGCACATGTGATTGCAAGTCTTCGTTCAAATACACATTGCATTCACTTCGGGTCGACTAGCATTAGTTGCTTATCGAGGGCAATCGGTGACGCATTTTGTACTTCAGCATTTGCATTTGCTCATGCCCGTACAGGTAAGAGAAGTATACGACATCCTCTGCCAAAACAACAAAGTGTTTGTTTGAGAAGTCTCCACTCTCTGTTGAGGAAGACAACTACTGTCCGCCGCTTTGACAAAAGATTTTTGCGCAAGGTGACCTGGCCAGCCGCGAGGCTGGCCATATGGAGCACTATGTGCATCATCCATGTTTTTGCTAAGCGGATTATAATCGAGCTTCCTGAGAGCGTCGTGATCGCAACCGCCGGGGAAAGAAGACAGCTTGCCTGAGCGCTCTTAGATCCATGCTCAGAGGACACCCTCGTAAGTTTCGATCTCATCCGCAGACTCGGATGCCAACTCCGCCGCACGAACGCCAGCATTACCGGGGTTACCAGTCCAGCGATGGACTCAGCCAGACATCGGGCGACAATCTACATCATCGAGCCTTCCGGCGACTCTCCGATCAAGACGGGAGCCTTTGTTCTGCGCTCTTTCGGTATCATTACTCCTTCGGCAATGCCCGGCCCAAAACTGTTTCTGCTCAAGCGTAAGCTCCTACTCGCAGACCCGACCTTCCACCGACCAGGCCGGATCGACGTCGTGATAGGGGCAGACATCTACCACCACATCACTAGAACCGGCACGAGGAGATTCGGACAGCTCGTCGCTCAGAACACGTCGTTCGGCTGGACCGTGATGGGCTCCGCTCACTCCAAACAGGCAAGTGACGCTCATCAAAGCATCCAGACGCACGCCGTCTCAGCTTGCGCCACGAGCGATCTGAGCCACGAAGAACTGCTCACATTGGTCCAGCGCTTCTGGGATCTCGAGGAGGTGCCGCTCGCGAGGAGGATCTCCACGGCTGACCAAGAGTGCGAAGCGATCTACGCGCGAGGCGTTCGTCGCGAGACAAGCGGACGATACGTTGTTCGGCTGCCGCTGAAACTCGAACGCGCCGCCCTGCTCGGCGACAGCCTACTCGCTCGCTCGCTCGCCGATCTAACGCTGCTCGAGAGTTACCAGGAGTTCATGGAGGAGTACGTTCGTCTGGGCCACATGAGATTACTCACGGAGTCGGAATTTCAGGAGAACAGAAGCACCGTCTACTACGTGCCGCACCACGGCATCTGGCAGCGTAGCGACAGCGGCCCCAAGCTCAGGGTAGTGTTCAACGCCTCTCGAGCCACCTCTTCCGGAGTCAGCCTCAAGGATACCCTCCATGCCGGCCCAAAACTGCTAGGGCACATCTCCACCATACTAACCCGCTGGAGGAGGCACCGATACGTCTTCTGCGCAGACGTGCAGAAGATGTTCCGTCAAGTGCTCATAGACGACCGAGACATCCACCTTCAGCACATCGTCTGGAGCCCCACCGCCGGCCTGCCGCTGCAGCACTACGCCCTACGCACGGTCACCTACGGCACCGCCTGTGCACCCTATTTGGTGCTACGTACGATGAAACAGCTGAGCGACGACGAGGGCGAGAAGTTCCCGCTTGCGCGAGAGGTTTTGCAGCAAGATCTTTACATGGACGACTTCTTGAGCGGCGGCCACGATCTAGACACGACCGGAAATATCAGAGATCAACTCATCGGCCTCCTCGCTGCGGGCGGGTTCCATCTGCACAAATGGGTAGCGAACAATCCTGCTCTCCTCGAGGAGATCCCCCCGACGATTGACTCCGGCCCAGCTGGGTACAGCTGTCTACCGAGGGACCGGTCCGAGAGCTCGGCGTGGCCTGGGACCCGGTGGAGGACAATTTCAAATTCGGCCCCGGAAACCCCGAGACATCTCCCGGCTCACCAAAAGGACAGCACTAGCAGAACTTGCCGGGATCTTTGACCCCGTCGGCTGGCTCACACCGCTTACTCTAGTGGCCAAGCTCCTCATCCAGGACATGTGGCGAGCCAAGCTTAATTGGGACGAGGATCTGTCCAAGGTTTGAACCGACAAGTGGCTCGCATTTCGGACGAATATCCACGAGACGATGGGACTTACCATCAGCTGCTGGATTAGCCACTTCCCCGGTCAGGAGCTCCAGCTCCACGCATTCTCAGATGCAAGTCACCGAGCCTTAGCCGCCGTGGTCTACTGTCGAGCGGCCGAGGACGGCGGGCGGGGATTCACAATCATCATCGGCGCCAAGTCCAAGCCGACTTCAATTAAGAGCCTTATGCCGGCTTCCGAAAAGCGCGCCAGAATGACGATCCCACGCCTGGAGCTGAGAGCCACGCTCATCGCGGCGCAGCTCTTAAGGAACGCCACAGCCACCCTCTCCGTTCCACTAACGAGCTGCCACCTGTGGAGCAACTCCCAGGTGGCTCTTCACTGGCTTCGCTCGGATAGCCCAGTCGATCATGACCTCATTGACAACTTGTGACGGAGAATTTCGGCTTGCCGGCTTCTCCTTTGTCTCTCTCTCGTCCGTTCGTTGCGCCCGGGCTGAGGGTGTATTTGTATACACTCTCATGCCTACATTTTCTCTGTTTGAGGTGCGGCGAACGGGCATTGGCGGAGCTGGAGGCGGCCGACGAGGCGACGATCCGTTGCCAGGATCGTCATGCGGGAGAGCGAGCGGGATGGAGAGAGCGCGGGCTACGCATGGATCCGACGCGTGCGCGGCCGGGGGGGAGACAGCGCGGGACAGACACCACCCAGCTGGCTCACCACCCTCTCTGGTGGAAAGGTCCCGCCTGGCTCCCTCGTCCGACTAGCGAGTGGCCCAAGGAGGAGGAAACAGTCCCTCTCGCGACCACGTCACCATGCCTCCTCGCAGCTTAGATGAAGATCACCACCGAAACGGACCTGCAAGGTGGCATCCCTGCATGAATGCCACCAACTCAAGTCGCTGGAGCCTTTCATGGATGGCGACGGGGCAGTTCAAGTTGGAGGGCGGCCCGCTCGGTCGCCTCTGCCTTTCGACGAGCGACACCCAATGCTACTCCACGGGAAGTCCGTCTTCGCTCAGCTCGTTATCCGCTGGGCCCACGAGCGCTGCCTTCACGGGGGCTTCCGAGCGACCTACTCTAGCGCCCTCCAACGAGCTTGGATCACCGGAGCCCGGGACCGCATCAAGAGGCTCATACACCACTGCACACTGTGTGTTCGACTGACTGCACGCCCTGCCTCCCAACAAATGGCCGCTCTACCACCGGCCAGAGTCACCCTCGCTTGACCATTCTCCAAGTGCGAGGTTGACTACGCTGGGCCGCTCTCCATGTGCCGCAACAAAGGGAGAGGCGCTGCCACGTTGAAAGGTTACGTTGCACTATTTGTGTGCCTCTGCACAAAGGCAGTGCACCTGGAGCTCGTCAGCAACCTCACTAGCGCCAGTTTTCTAGAAGCTTTCACTCGGTTTGTCGGGAGGCGTGGGACACCAGCTGAAGTTTGGAGCGACAATGGCACCAACTTTCGAGGAGCTGCCTTGGAGCTGAGACGTCTGCTCCGAGAGACCGAAATCGACTGGGGCGTCGTCGAGGGCGAACTCGCCAAGGACGAAACTTCGTGGAAATTCATTCCGCCCTCGGCACCGAACTTCGGGGGCCTGTGGGAGGCCGGCGTCAAGTAGATGAAGAAACACTTGATGCGGGTGGCTTCTCCTCGCCGTCTCACTTACGAGGAGCTCACCACTCTTCTGGTTTCCATTGAAGCTACTCTGAGCAGCCGCCCTCTCGTTCCACCCGCTGGTGACCTCGATGACATCGAGGCCCTCACTCCTAGTCACTTCCTCATCGGGACTTCAGCCACCTCTTATCCTCAGACCAGCAGCGCCGGCCAGTCCCTAGATAGAGCAAGTCATTGGGAGCTCGTCCAGGCCATGAGAAGTCACTTCTGGGCCCGCTGGAGTCGGGAATATCTGAACACACTACGCCAGAGGCCAAATTGGAAATCTCCTCAGCCCAATCTCGAAGTCGGAGATTTTGTCATCCTCCTCGACCCCACTCTGCTTCGATCGGACGGTCGATGGCCTCTTGGCCGCGTGACGGCCACCATGCCTAGATCAGATGGCCTTGTGAGAGCGGTCACCGTTAAAATCGTCACCGGCGAGTATACTCGACCGATTGTCAAGGTCGTTCGGCTACCCACCCAGGACACTTCCAGCTCGTCGACAGCAGCAGCCTCATCAAATGAAGTCGTTCCCGGAACGAGGCAAGCGGGATGTTTGGAACAAGCGCGCACCCAGCGCCCTGCTCCTACCGGTGAGCGGTAAGGCCGATTACTGACGCCTCAGAGGGGGCCGACAGGGAGCGTGCGAGAGTGACCTCTCCCGCCAGGGGCCAGTTTTTGCCAGTCAATCTTGATCTCAGCGCCTCGACGGACAGCCGTTCAAGAGCATCCCAGAGTGTATTAAAATGCACTTAAAGTGTAATCAGATTTTAAGTAAAGTCCAATAAATTAATTGAAACAGCCTCCGCCTTATTCTTCACCTTCTGCGCATCAAGGATCAGTATGATTCTGTATAATTATGTGAAATAGCAAGGACACGAAATAATCGAAACTAATATTCTTCCGGTCAGTCTTTATTTGACGAAAATGGCGGAAGAATCAGGGCAAATAATTAATTCACAGGTTTCAATTCGTCCACTTCCAATATTCGCAATAAATTACTATTTTGGCGAAAGGTCAGCGCGAATAATTTAACTACTTTCTTTTTCTTTGTCAGATCCTAACACTCACGTTCGATTCTGCGAAATGGCGGACAGGTCAGCGCGACTAATAGGATCAATGATTTTATGCGACTAAGCCTACATCCGCAATAACTATTGCCGAAAGGTCAGCGCGAATTAAATAATCACTGTTTTTCTTTCGTCTGATCCTAACACTCGCAATAGCTAATAATTTGGTTCTAATCTTGACGAAAGGTCAACACGAATAACTAAATCTCGAATTTTAATTCGCATACTCCCAATATCCACGATAAATTACTACTAGCGAAAGGTCAGCGCGAATCAACTAATCACTGGTTTTCTTCGTCGGATCTTAATACTCACGTTCGATTCTACGAAATGGCAGAAAGGTCAGCACGAATTAGTAGGCACCGGTATCGACGGATCCACGCGTCGCGACAACCTACTACACCGAAAATTCCACTCCCGCACTCCGCGATTAATAATAATGAGTGGCACTTTGCCTACTTACGGTTTTCCTTGCTGAGATTCGGCGAACGAAATTAGCATGAAAGAATAGTGGTTAGCGCAATTAATCCTGCGGGACAAAAGTATCGGACACCAGTACTCCTTCTGGCTCAAAAGAACGACGGCAAAATGGACGAGAATCGGCTTTTCGCGGTCAAAGATCGCTTTTCTTCTCCTCTTTCCGAGAAGAAATGTTATTATTGATCGGTATGCTAATTCGGATATCGGTAGCGCACTCCGAATATTTTATCATTGGTCTATTTCGCTCGCTCTGTCTCGCTCGCTCGCTCTCAGTCTGTCTCGCTCGCTCTTATTTAGTTTATCTCTCCTGCTCTGTCTCGCTCGCTCTGTCTCAGTCTGTCTCGCTCGCTCTCAGTAGGTCTCGCTCGCTCTCAGTAGGTCTCGCTCGCTCATGCTCAGTTCATTTCGGCGCTTCAAAATGGCCGCTCGGTCTCTCGCGTGTACACCTCGTGTTCCCGTAACGGTCGTTGGAACGCCTCCTGGGGTGCTCCAGTGTGGTCACCGTTGTGAGTGTGTGTGGCGCTCAGGATGTCGCCGATGGTGTTCGGCAGCCCGACACATCTGATTGCCGGCTGCCACTTCATCGGCGAATTTCTTCTCGCCCCAGGTGTGTCAGTGCTCTGTGAGTGTTGGTGTTGGTGCCTGGGAGTGTAACGGATCTGCATGTGTCATCAACATGCATTTCCGTTGCATTACCCAGTGAAGTTTTCCGTTTTTCTTTTTCCAGTCGGCAACACGTGGTCGTGAGTCGTGCGCTCTTTTTTTTTTTCTTTTGAGTGTCCGTCAGATCGCGTTCGTCGAGCTTATTTCGTCAATACCTCCGGTTGTGGTATTTGGGCATGAAAAGGGTTAATTTTTTATTTTAGTGCGCGTTTGTTTTTACATTTTATGCAACTGGTTACGGGGCGGCAAGGGACGGGAATGGCTTTCCTGAGGTGTTGCAGATAATGCAACAATCAGGAAAAGTCTTGTAATGTGACGCATTACAAATTAAACAACAATAATTATCGTATCTATATCTATAAGTAGAGTGACGTCATGCTCCTTATATGGTCATGAAATTTGACTCTAGCACTAATACAATCATAAAATATGAGAGGTGGCGCCGTTTAATATACTAATTGATATATGTAGATTCATGAGTTTAGCGAGTTGCAGTAATCCAGTGAAAAGAAGAGAAGAGCTTATAGATAGAACCGTTAGACTTTTAAGAAGTTTTGTAGCTTTCCATAACGATCTGCTGCTTTCCATGAGATGTTGCTGAAGCACACAGTAATCTAAAATAATTCAGCGTTTGTATTTTTTTCTTTGTAAAACATTTTGTTCAGATTTTTAGATGCATTTTTACTCTTTTTTTGTCTTAACTCCATCTAGTTATCTTAATAATATTTTTTCTTTGATTTTTTGGGTTATTTTAGTGGATATGATTTGCTGTGTTTTATTGCTATTTATTGTAAAAGAGAATTTGTTAATAGTTTCAGTTAGATTGACGTTGAGTGAATTGATGCTGCTTTCTATATTGTTAACTGTTTTAAGAGGAACGTTGTACTTTATGCGTTCCTCTATGTAAAGAGCATATTTTTTACAATCGCCTTTTATGTTATTGTTTACTTTATTAAGTACTTCGTGGTGTATAGTAATTAGTACTGGCGAATGATCTGATGATAAATCTAATCATAATAACAATTAAAAATAATTTTTATTTATACCAGTTACTATAGCAAAGTTAGTCAAATCCTGAAGATTGTTTATAGCTGTAGGCGAGTTCTCCGATGGATATCGGAATGTTTTTTTTTGTAGTATTTTATAGAGTATTCTGTCTCTGTACGAGTATATGAGAGTTGATGATCTCGATCACCACCACGGATGTTTCGAATTATAATCGCCTACTACTATAACGTGATTTTCAAGTGTCTTGAAATATTCAGTTCAGTTTTCTTTTGTAATCATTTTGTTTGAAGGACAGTAAGCAGCTGATATTGTTATCGGTTCATCTTTATCCTTGATGATTATACTGGTTGCTTGTAAATAGATTTCACTAGTGTAAGTGTGGACGTAATGGTTTATTTTTATTTTTATTATAATCGCAGTATCTTCGTCTGCTTTATTGAGCTGGTTTTATGTACAGTGTAGTTTGGTATATTAAGATAGTTTTACTTGTGATGTGTTTTTCTGATATCAACATGATATCTATACTTTCATGGATTAAAAATGCTTTTAATTCAATGTGCCTCTGCATAAGACCGTTTGCGTTCCAGATAGCGAGTTTTAGACTGCTCATTATGCTAATTTGTTTACTAGTACAGTTAAAAGATTTCACATAGTATTCAGTGCTTGGATCAGTTGCTCCATCATATGTTCAAATTTGTTATTTGTATTTAATTCATTAGCATGTCTACTTAGCTCTCTGCTTGAAAAACTTTTTGTTTCAATATTTCTGTCTTACTCTAATCGTTTTGTTTTGATATTACGTATGCGTATGTTATGCTTTATCTGACTCTGTTGACATTTAAATTGGAATTTGAATTTTGATGAACTTTAATAATATTTTTATTTAATGTTGTTTCTCTTAGTCCAGGAAATAGTTCTTGCTGTAATTGCTTAGGAACTGGGCATCTTTTAGTTTGCCGTGTGATGTCATTTGAAATTTGCATATGTTACGTATTTTATTTTTTTGTTTAAATGAACATTCTTTTGTTTGGTGTTGTTCACATTTCACACACCCCGCACTTTAGTAACAATAGTTTTTATATGCCTTTCTTTAATTTCTCTTTTAAGGTTCGGTGACCCGAATTTGTACTTTATATATGTATATAATTACTTTATAAATTTCCTGGCTTTTATAATCATGTTCAATTTCAACTGTAAAAAATCGCAAAAGCGAAACGTTTTACTTTTCGCATAGGGCCCTCGTTCTGACATTCCTTTTATCATTATATTTTTTATTGATGAAACATGTATTTGTTCAATGTTATTTCATTTTCTCAGGATTTATTTTTTTACTTGTTGGAATGCATGTTGAATTTCGATAAATTATAATTTATTATGTATACAATGTTAAGGTAAAATTTGCATATATACAATCAATTTTGTATAATAACGTTTTTTTCATTCATTGTACATGTAAAAATCTCAAAGAGAAATGTTAAAATAATAATATTGAAGTAAAATTTAGGGTATCGATATATTTTTAATTATATTATAACTAATTTTCATATCAAGAAACATTATAGGCTATAGAATAATAAAAAAATAAATATAAGCTTGCATATATTTTGACGATCAGATTTGATTTTTTATTATATTTTTGACTGTTTTTTTTTCCTTATATTGTAATGGTGTGAAAATGGTATGTAATACATCTAAATATTATACGGTAACAAATCTAAACAATTCATAACTCAATAGTTAC